GATGGATTAAGTCCCCAAAACTTGTCCAGTCCCCCACAACCAACTTCCTGCTGTCGTCGATATTGCACTGACCTTCTCTTTGGTGCAATAAAGAGGGGTGCTGCTGCATGATTGGAATCCCCGGGACCAGACATCCCTCATTTATTTGTTGTTTTCTTTTCGAAGAGAGAAACACATGTGAAAGATAAAAATATAGTTTATCCACATATAGACCCATAGTACTCTTTTATCCGGTATCTACGTACGCACAATGGCATTATTGCAAATGATCAGTTTAACGTGACGGACGCATACAAGTAAATGTGGACCAAAAACAAAAAATTAACCAAAACCTTCGACATAAGTCACGCAGTTGTCTGAATAATATGACCCTCCCTCTTTATTTCAATGAGGGACGGTGCTTCAGAAACATTAAGTTATTTCCCTAATATATTCTTCGACATGGCTTCGAAAAAAGCGAGTTGATTAATTTGTATAATTTAATCTCTTTTTATCGTATCTTTTATGAAGCCAGAATGTTTAGTTATTAAATAAAACGGTTTTTGTGATTAGTTTATTTACTGCTAAATAAAAGTAACCAAAATGATGATCATCTAAGAGTTTTAATTCCATCATTTTAGCCATGGATAATATATATATATATATATATTAATTGATTTAAAATATGTTTTTTCCGCTACACAGTTCTAACCATGTTTCAAAAATGGAAGGTCCGAATTTAATTTTGTAATTAAAGACATTAGTTCCATTTCATCCTCAAGCGAATTTTGGAGTAACTTATAAAATTACTGGGTTTTAAAGACAGCAAAAATCATAATTCACGTTTCCAAGGATAGAGAGAAATCCAATTCAACCAGACGAGGGGTGTTTGCGTGTTCATTATGTCTGTATTTTGATGTATCAGTTATTAGTTACGTTTTGGTAGGGGGTAGGGATGTATTCTTCAATGAAATCTGACATCCGTTAAATGCATGTCGTCTAGATTTTTTTTAAATTTTATTGTTAACGGCAAAAATTCTTATGGCATTTTTTCTATTTGTATATTTAAAGATTTTTGGGTGGGTGTTTAGGTTAGAATACGTTTTATTTAACTACGATTTGAAAAATATTTTCCTTTTTAATTTTTAATATACAGTGTAACCCGGATATAAGAGACCGTATATAAGAGAAACCCGGATATAAGAGAGATTTTCTCTGGTCCCAAATTAGAGCTTGTGTTAATGTATATAAAATAAACAAAACCGGATATAAGAGAAACCCGGATATAAGAGACTTCTCCGGTCCCGACAACTCTCTTATATCCGGGTTACACTATACTATATTTCTTTTAAGAACAAGTAAATACTGTTCTTTCTTTTTTTATATATATATATATATATATATATATATATATATATATATATATATATATATATATATATATACCCGATGTTGCGATGAGAACGAAAGTAATATATAAATTCCAAAGTTCACAGTATTAATCCAAAAGAGGGCTCGATACCGATAGTAGAGCGATAATTATTGATTTATTATAATTTTATCATATAAACAAAGCCATTTTCCTCACTACAAAGATGGAACTTAGTTTCAATGAATTTCAACTGCACTTCGACGACTGAGAATCGAAAACATTTTCGATTCTCCCCGTATATATATATATTAATAAAGTCACTAAGACGCAATGCATTAATGAATGGGTTGAGAATAGGAGAAAAAAACACAATTAAGGGAAAAAGTAAAAGAACAGGAATGCAGAAGATAAGAATTGATACGGCACTTAAATTTTTGAAGTTCATCTATGCTAATGGAAGGCAAGAATGGTTTTCTCTCTCTCTATATATATATATATAAGGATTCAATCAATACAAATCCACTCAATGTGGAGAGTTACTGTTAAAATGGTAAAGATGAATGCGCGATAAGAATGAAAGTGTTAGACTGTTTCGCAGCTCTTCAGGGTGGCTAGACGTCCGATTGCTTCAAGCCGAGACCGAAATTTCATTGACATGATATCAGTCCGATACCTTACATTTAGGCCATCGGCGCACAATGGGAACTCTACCGTTTTAGTGGCGATAAGAATGATAATTTTAGGGTTAGAGTGCTAAGAATGAGAGGGGAGGTGGTAGATATTGAAATTGACCCTCGACTTGAACAGATTAAGAATCGATACCTGAGTGAAACTTTCGCCTTACCTTTTAAAACACGAAAGAGAAATGTTGGGTGCGCTTCCACTCCGTGGAAATGGCGTCGTGTGTCCAAGCTTTAAAGTCACCTTATCGCCTCCGAATATTTGACCACACAGTGTGAACTGAACCATAATCCTGTTCACACTCTTCCCCGGTCTTTTGAACGGGAGTAGAGGTTTCCTATTTAGGAGTGAGTTTCCCGTTCCTTCTAAAGTCTTTTCGTTCTCTTTCATTCCAAGTAGCCCCTTGTATCTTAGTGACATTATCGCCTTGCTTGTGAATTGATTTTTTAAAAAAAATACACTAGCAATAGTCTACAAGACTACATCCCGATGGACTATTCCAATGTTAGCTATCGATTAATTCTTATTTAATCTATCTAAATATGGGACAAAACTAAAAAATTAGGGAATTAGCTAGGATCGAACCCACTCCAATACTAGCTATCTTCGAGGTTCTTCTTATTCAGTACTCTACAGTAGTAGCAATTTTGGTCTCATCGTAAATATTGCTCCACGGTGTGGCATCCACAACAATACTGTTGCCATTGTGATTCAGTCTCTAGTCAACAGGTGAATTCACTAACTTGAGATCCTTTTCTTGTATATGCCGTGCCTCTTCAGGACGTTTGTGATCATGGCTCTTCACCATTTCCTATCCTTCTTAGCCGTGGTTGTCTTTTTACTACGCTCTCTCTATTCAGCCATCCATTTATCGTTAGGTAGGTTACTCTATGCTTTCTTCTACTCTGTTCTGCTTTTAATGTCCTGTAAGTATCATATTTTCCATGCCTTCTTTTCTTATTATGTATCAAAGAAATTCCAACTCTCTGATTTTATGCGTAACTGTTTTTGTTGTTTTTTTTTATTTCCATTTTCCATAAAACTTCCTTCGTGGTATTCTCAGCATCCTTCTGTAGAAAAGCATCTACGTTACCTTAATTCTATTCTTCATCTGTGAGGAAATTGTCCCGTACTCGCTGACAGATGAGTGGACTGACGTTACATAGCAAGTGAACGCTCTTTTCTTTGTTTTAACTGTTTATTTCTGATTTTTATGTAGAGTTGTTTTACTTTTCTAAATATAACTTTCTCGTTGCCTTGTCCAAGGTACTGTTCATGCAAAAAGGATGAAAGGCCATTGCTCATTGAAGAAGAGAACTCAGTGGCTTCTAGAACCAACTGTCCAACTTGTATGTTATAAAAAACAGTCGTCCTAAATGGCGCGTCAGTAACATCTTCAGAAGACTTAACAAGAAAGTTCTTATCAAACTGTTGCCTCAAGACTCCTCTTCATCTATGGGGAAATTGTCCAGCATTCATTGCTATATATGAGGTTTGATTCTACATAGCAAATAATCACTCGTGTCTTTGTTTCAACTCTTTCTGATTTTAGTGTCGATTCTGTTTTCCTTTACATTAAAGCTTCATTGTTGCTCCTCCCATGGTATTCTCAGCATCCTTCTGTTACCTCAAGTCTCCCATTCATCAGTGTTCTGCATCCACTGCCATATCAAATGACTGATATTACATCGCAGTTGAGTACTCTTTGTTTCAACTAAAATTTATTGGCTTAAAAGATTGTAAAACCTTCCTAGCGATGAAGTAGCATTGAGTATACTCTTTTTGAAGAAACAATCAATCCTTCGATATGGCAGTAAATACTGGCTTCAGAAGAGGTCTAATTTGAAGGAGATTAAATGCTGAGTTGATATGTGTTGTAGTTTTCTTTTTATAGCGCCACACCCGGCACTTTTTAATCAGACTTCGTACAGAAAAAAAAAGTTTTTTCTATCCCATTAGTGAAAGTTTTGTTGAACTTTTACTAGAAATGGTAGAGCAAGTCTCCTACTCATTTCTGAGGAAAATGCTCAGCATTCGTTGTCATATAGAAAAATTGATATTACTTAACAGTTGAGTACTCTTTGTTTTAACTGATATCTACTGGCTTAAAAGATTCTAAAATCTTCCTAGGGATGGCCCAATCCATTAGTGAAAGTTTTGTTGAACTTTTACTAGAAATGGTAGAGCTTTAGAAAGTCTCCTACTCATTTGTGAGGAAATTGCTCAGCATTCGCTGCCATATAGAAAAATTGATATTACATAACAGTTGAGCGTTTTTTTTTCTTTGTTTTAACTGGTTCTTCCTGATTCTATGTATAATTTTGTTTTTCTTTCTAATTTGCTTCAAACTTCCACGTTGCTTCGTCCATGATACTGTCCAAGCAAAAGGGATGAAAGGCCACTGCTTATTGAAGAACAGAATCATACTCAGTGGCTTGTGAAACTGTCCAAATTGTATGCTATAAAAACCAGTCCTGCTCAACTGGCGTCAGTATTATCTTAAGAAGACGACTTAGCAAGAATGCTCTTATTAAACTAAAGCCGAGACATCGACATCGAATCCATCTCAGCATCGGATTGCAAAATAGACACGGCTTATCTTGGGAAAGACAGCCATTTTCAGAACGGAAGACTGCTTTACGATGATGCCCAGGAAGTGCAGCTTACGGAAGAATGATTGCTTTGCTTTCCAAAATGGACAACCACACGTACTTTTACTTCTGCCGACAGCGACAGAGAAACTTTTCATGGTTGTACGCGGCAGCAGATTCAAGCTGGTTTTTGAAATTGAAATGCGCATGCGCCGCTGATAGTCTCGGACTGTTTTCTTCCGCCGCATTATTTCATCCGACATGTCTACGCTGAAGGAGGGCGCGAGAGTGCGTCGGTATCCTGAGGGAGAGAAAGGCGGCAATAACGATGTAGAATTTAGAAATCTTTTCGCCAGCGTAATCTTTGTACAATAATTATGACTACTCATGCGCGCCACTTCATGTGTACGAGTCCTATCTATTCCCGTCCGCCCTACATGTTCCCCCTCCCTCCCCTCTCTCTTTCTCTCTCTGTCTATCTCTCTATCTCATACACACACCTCCTCAATTTTGCTCTCATTTTAATTTTCTCATATCCTCTCCCTCTCTCTCTCTCTATCCATCTATCTATCTATCTATCTATCTATCTATCTATCTCTCTCTCTCTCTCTCTCTCTCTATATATATATATATATATATATATATATGTATCGCACATTATGAAATGGACAGTCCGACAATTATTTTAAGACATTTTTATGTTTATACATTCTTTTTTATAGATACAAATATTTTAAGTAAATGTTTGTTTATAATAAACAATATTAAACAACATTTAACGGCCTGACGACGAATATTTTCTGTGAAAATTTCTCGGACATTCAGGCCCGTAAATGTTGTTTAATACTGTTTATTATAAACAGACCATATACTTAGATATTTGTATCTATAAAAAGAATGTATAAACATAAAAATTTTTAATATATATATATATATATATATATATATATATATATATATATATACTTTCTATTTCGACTTTTCGAATGTGAAGTAGCATTGAGTATACTCTTTTGAAGAAACAATCAATCCTTCGATATGGCAGTAAATACTGGCTTCAGAAGAGGTCTAATTCGAAGGAGATTAAATGCTGAGTTGATATGTGGTAGTTTTCTTTTTATAGCGCCACACCCGGCACTTTTTAATCAGACTTCGTACAGAAAAAAAAAAGTTTTTTTCAGATTTTTTCTTGTCAGTCAATTCGCTTTTCATTTTTTTTTTTTTTTGCTTGTTATTTGGCGTTGTGACATTTTAAAACAGTTCTTTTTTTTTTTGTTCTTAATTTGCCAATAATTTAATTTTTGCAGTTGATCTTTTTTGAATTTTTTCGACTTTTCCAATGTTGTATTATCATCACGCAGTAATTTTACATCGCTTTTTTTTTCTCGTTCGGAAGTTTATATTTCTTGTACGCCCCGGAAATATCTATATATCTGGAAGTAAAAGAATAAATATCAATAAATATATTATTATAGATATTTATTTACAATATAAATGTCGACTTACATAATGAAATTTTCACACAACCAATTAAATTTCAAATTAAATTAAATCATTGGCAAATGGTTATGGATAGTATAATCGGTTCTAATCGGTTCTAATCGCTTTCTAAACATGTTTAACAACCAGTCTTGGAAAAGGATAGCTCTAAATTTACGTGAATTTTGAATTCAGAGCTATCCGTTTTCAAAATTGGTCGCTAACCATGTATAGAAAGCCCAGCCTGTATTGCTATTTAACCCATAGCTGGGGGTGAGAAGTGATTAATATTTTTTCCAAGAGTATTTTCTTTGAATCAATTCATCGCAAACAAGGCAATAAAATCACTAAGACGCAGTGATGTGGGGTTACTGAGTGCGATATAATATGAGTAAAAGAAAACACTATAACTATGGGTTAATTAATAAAACTTGTATCATTAAAACCATTATTATCTCAAAAAACATATAAATAAAATTGCCAACAAGATATTTAGATTTCGACATTAACCCATTAACTGCCAAATTTTTTAAAGCAAATTTTTTGCCCAGACAGGTGTCTTAGGAGTTTATTTATTCCTTATGTTTAATTTCAGTAGTCGCCATTGTGGGTTTTATAGAAACTAGAACATCAAATATATATGTATATAAAACATCAAAAAATAATATTGATTAGAAATAATAAAAAAAATACTTTTCAAAATAGTCATTTTTTTTCTACTCGTGAAATGTAAAATTACGACAGAAAGTGTCTTCTTACGGCTAGTAATAAAAACTTTAAAGACTAAGTGTTGTAAAATATACCTCTGCAAATGCAATGTATGTAATCAATTAAATGCAAATATAAGGAATAACATGTAGCGAGTTTAATTTATACAGACCCCCAAATGAGGCTTATGGCAGGTAATGGGTTAAATAACTCGTAACAAATCTACCCTGTCGTGAATCTAGCTATCAATCCTTCCATCTAAAATGGCGCAGCTACTCGTATTCAAGGATTCTCGTCTACCAGTGTAGCTAGCAGACGCCAGCTCAGGCACATTTAGGTTTGTTCAACAGCCACAGAGCCTACCTGTGGTTTATACTGTAACTAAATGTCACTAAGCTGTGCTAAACTTAGTTACGGTTTCTCAGAGAGTGCACGTGATCAACATTCTGAACAAGGCTTGTACGCTCAAGCCCTCAAGCGGTCACTACTAAATTTCACTCGACCCGTGGTATGGTTTTCAGGTACTTTCCAAAGCTTCCGCACGCTGGGATCACCTCATCCAGACTTACAACATCAAGGTAATATTCCTAAGAAATCGACCCGGGTCAGAAAGCGAATGTTCTAACTGCGTGCCCATCTAAATGGATTTGGTTATTTTACTTCTGACACCACTAATTAATCATCTAATCCAGATATTTTTTTTTTTACTTATACAGTACGTAAGATCACTTTGGCGCTATACAATCTATGTACTCTTCAGCCACCGGTACAAATCACATATTCAGTGAATGGTAATAAAACGAAGCAGCTATGCCAGTCTCTATAATAATATCGATCTATTGATCGATGAAGCAGCCTATCGATCTGTTCAGCTGACAACCAGCTTATCGATCGGTTTATCTAATTATTATTATGTTTCATTCTTAATTCTTATTTTCATATCTCTCATTCGATTTATATAGTGAAACACGCGTGACACCAATCTTCAAAGACGATATTTCGAAAGAAATACCAGTTCTCTTTTTAATTCTTCCTTATTTTAGCCACTTTATAGTTAACCTTAGCCGAATGTGGCTAATGGTGAGGAGCGTGTGATTACATCGTCTATGCTTGAACATGTTCTTCTTCTTCTTCTTCTTCTTCTTCTTCTTTTTCTTTAACGTAAATTGCGGCGTACAAGTCGACCTGGTATACAAGTCGACCTCAAGATTTTTAGCCCAACATTCTGATTAGGCCAATACTTACCGTATAGGTCGACCCCCAAACATACATAAGGCTACCATATATACTCCATGTATACCTTCTGGTCTCTGCTCGTAGGATCTGATGATGTAATTTAAGTTATTGCCTCTATTATCCTCAAAATTCCCAAAACATGGATTTTGTGGGCCAAAAGTAGTCTTACAGTTGTTTCGCGTTTTAGATCACAGCTCAGAACCAGAACTAACTTTGTCGAAATATTCTTTCATCAAGATGGAGCCTTTGTCGATTAGCCTTTGCCAGTAAGGGGCTAACTTAACCGAATTTTCCACAACAATTGGTCTAGAAGATGGGGTAGCATTGAATGACCACTACGTTCACCTGACCCTAACATCAATGGATTTTTTTTTTTTTTTTTTTTTGAGCGGGGTGGGTGTAGTAAAGAAAAATGTTTAAGAGAGAACTCCCCCCCCCACAGTAAACGACTTAAAAGAGTAGATCTCAGAAGTATCTATTGAAACTTATGCAGATCGGGATTTGTGTCGTGCAGTGTTCTGCAGAGGTTCGAGGAATGTTGCAATGAAGAAGGAGGACATTTGGAGCACTTGTGATTAAACTATGCTAAAAAGTGTAAGTAAAGAGTTAAACAAATGTACATAAATAGTTTTGAACAAATATGATTGTACCAAATGAATATAAATATAATGAAATGTTTTAAAAAAATGTAAATCTTATACCTACTAAGTGTAAGCCTACTTTTGGCCCACCTTATATATATATATATATATATATATATATATGAAGAAATATAGTTTTAAAGTGTGCTATATTTATGGGATAAAGTGCTCAATATCAGAGGTAGAGCGTATGTAAATATAAATTTAAAGTGAACATTAAAGTCAGCACTCATAGGCCACAGGCTGTTTCATGCTAGATGCAATCTTCAGGCCTGACGATTGCGTCCAGCATGAAACTGTCGCCTCTGAGTGCTGACTTCCATGTTCATATATATATATATATATATATATATATATATATATATATATATAAATATATATATATATATATATATATATATATATATATATATATATATATATATATATTGAACAATAAAAAATATTATAAAATTAAAATCTTCAGACACACCGGGTTGTAGATTAATATTCGTTCGTTTTTATTATTATGTCCATCATCAGGAGAAGAAATATTTCTGCTTGCTGGTAGCAGTAAACTACAGAAATGAATGTCTTGATGGAGAAAATGTAGTTTTTTTTATCTTTTTAAGATGAATCTTTTAACATTCCTTGTATTGGTCAAACAGTCTCTTTTAAGTTGTTATTTGAGATAAGAGCTGGATGGATCTATGCTGCTCTGAATTTCCCTGGTCAGTTTGACAGTTTTATTGGTTCCTGGAGAGGGGATGTGTCTCTGTTGTGTGTGTGTGTGTGTGTGTGTGTGTGTGTGTGTGTGTGTGTGTGTGTGTGTGTGTTATTTGGTTCTTAGAGAGTGAATGAGTATGATGTGTGTAAGTGTGTATATTCGTGTAGGTGCGTGTATAAGTGTGAGGCCTCAACACCTCCGTAAGCATGTCTGTCTTGTGTGGGTGAGAAATGTGGGTAGATTTTGATTTGTAGTGTTATATATTAGTACTATCTATATTGTTAAATTTATGGTTTAGCCCGGCTGGATAGTGTGTTTTTAGACGTTGTATCTCCACTTATTTTTATGGAACTCTAAAATCTTTCTAATGTTATCTGCTCTGAACTTTTCTATTCTCTCAATTATAGTGAATTTGGCATGGGTTTTGAAATCGTGTTTTTCTAGGCGGAAATGTTGTTCTACAGGTGATAATTTTGCATGGGGAGTCGACTTAATTCGATTGCGATAATTATTAATTCTGTAGTGAAATGGCCATTCAGATTTTCCTACATATTGTTTCTGGCATAGTGTGCATTCTAGGAGGTAAATTATGTTATGACTTCTACAGTTAGAATCGTGGTAGATTTTGAAAGGAGATTTAGAGATTGAGCTAGTGAATAAATTCGTGTGTTTAATATGGTTGCAGCATAGACTTCTTTTGTTGTTACATGGTTGGGAAAATCCTGTTGTTTTTGTTCTTAGTTTATTACGGATTACCTTGTCCCCTGAAATGTGGTTACTACCTATGATTTCTTTTAGGTTCTTAGGTCTAGGATATGCAAGAAGGCCGGGTTCCTTAAACAATTTTTTTAGGTCTGGTTTGAGATGTAGTATTTCCCAGCGACGTTTGATTATTTGGGATAGTGAAGGCAGAGTGGGGTTGTAAATGGTTACTAGAGGAATGCGGCTAGATTTATTTTTAATCTTGTACATTAAGGTGTCTTCTCTAGATGTGGAAATTGCTTTATTTATTTGTTCCCTGATTAGGTGTTGTTTATAGCCACGTGTTGTGAATTGATGCTCCAGATTTTCAATGTGTTTATTTAATTCTTCATTGTTGGAACATATACTTCTGAGTCTAAGTCTAAGTGCTTGTGAATAGGGAAGGTTCTCTTTGAGGTGTTTAGGGTGGGAAGACTTAAAGTGTAGATAGTTGTGGGTGTCGGTGATTTTAGTTTTTTAGTGTCGTTTGTAGTTTCCTGTTTCATCTATGTAATGCGGGAGTCTAAAAATGTTACTGATGTGGATTTTTCATAGTCAAACTTAATTGAGTCGTGCACTGTGTTTAGGGTCATAAGGAATTGGGTAAGTTTGTCATCACTACCCGTGTATACAAAGAATATATCATCGATATATCTTGCATAGAATACGCAGTCGCTACCAATGATTGGATAGATATGGGTCTCCTCAAATTTTCCCATGAATATTGTAGCATATGATGGAGCTGCAATGGTGCCCATGGCACAACCTCTTATTTGAAAGTAGCGTGCTTCATTGAAGTTGAAAGTATTCAATGTAAGGACATGCTCTATGAGTTTTATGATAACTTCTGTGGGGGGGTGTCTTGTTTTCTTTTTTAGTAAGTGCTTCCTGAAGGGCGGTTAGATCTTCGATGTGTTTAATGTTTTATATATATATATATATATATATATATATATATATATATATGCATGCAAGGAAAATACATTGAGAATTTTGAGCATCAGAGAGGCAATAAATTAAATTATCTTATCAGATCCGACGAGCAGAGAACAAAAGGTGTTGTTTACACACGCACGCACACCTATATATGTGTGTGTGTGTGTATGTAAAGAACACCTTCTGCTCTCTGCTCGTCGGATCTGATAAGGTAATTTAATTTATTAGCTCTCATGCTCAAAATTGCTTACACATTTTTCATTGCAAGCAGTACTGTCTTGTATTGCAACCTGAAGACGTGGTTTTCTAAATCATTTCGTCGGCGAAACGCGTCGTTAAAAAGTTTTTTCCACTTTGTCTCATCATCTCCACTTTTGTTTCGGACACTATTATACATTCTATTCACACGCATAGTAAACGTATACAAATATATATGTCCAAGGGTATTTGATGAGTAAATGTTTGGACTGGCCTCATATATCCGATAAATATTTGAATGGTTTGAACTTGGTGTTAAGTTGAATGTAAACATCCAAGGTTTTATTTAGCGTAAATTTCGCGAACAAGTCGACCTCGTGTACAAGTCGACCTCAAAATTTTTAGCTCAAAATTCTGAGTTAGGCCTATAACTATCGTATAGGTCGACTCTCCAAACATACGGTAGGCTAAAAGTGATACAAAACTTAAGACTACAAGTAAATGAAGTTAGGCTGCAGTATACAATAACCAAAACTACATAAGCTATTTACCTGTATGTTGAGACACTAACCGTAATATATTTCTATAAGCGTTGTATAGCAAACACCCTATAAGACACAGCGGTAGATACCGTATATTGTAGCCGTATAACTTAGCGAACATTTAAAATTCATCAAATCTACATATAAACACATTAAAGTCAACATCAACTCCTATAAAATGTTAATATTGTAGATTACACATAATATCAGGTAGTTTGTTGATAGTACTGCTAGGTACCGTATGTTATTGTAAAACATAGTATCCGTAATCCACCATTTGCATCAGAAATGTTAACATCCAGTGACACTGCCAACCTCAAACTGCAAAACTGTAGGTCCATTACACTATCGACAATCAGGTCATTAAACTGTCATTACTATCATGAAATTGCGTAGATGACACGAATACCATAGCTAGTTGTATGATTGGTTGCCTGTGTTAAATGGCCCTTCGGTCAGTGTTTTAGTGCATTAGCTGTTGGACGCCATGTGTTGTGTAACATTAATAGAATACTAAATGTGTATTATTAATTTTTGTGTTAATATGTCAAACATGTTCACCGGTGGAGTAATGGATAGCGGTGGGGATTAAGGGATTGGAGATGCGAGTTCGAATTCCAGTCAAATCCATTACATTCACTTACGTACTAATACCCTTGGAAAAGGTATAAATCCTCTTCTTCAACCCCCAGCAACAGACCGAGTTCACCAAACACAAGTTTTAGCGGGGTATACTTGTGGCAGCCCGATGGAGGTACAGTAAGTGGTGTACATTAATTGTTAGGATTGCTGTCCCACTGTTACACTTCGGTGTTATATGGTTTTAATTTTATACCTGCCATATTCTTCGACGCATAGTTTTGGAATTATATTATAGGTTTGAAAACTCAACTTATACGCCACAATTTACGATAGTCATTTCACCCCAATCAAAGCAATAAAGCCACTAAGACCCAAATTGGGATCATTGAGTGTTGGAGAATATGAGTAAAAAAAAACACTATTAAGCAGAGAGAATAATAAAAGAACAAGAATTAAAAAAGACAGAAGATAATGATTAGCATTGCAAAGTCAACTGGGAAGCAAGCCAGAAAGGAGTTCCACAAGCGAGAGGTGTGATAGAAGAAACTGTTAGCATAGAACTCACGGTTCCTTCTAGATGCTTCAACGGTAAAAGGATAAGACATTGAAGCCAATCTAGTGCCCTGCTTAAATTCGTAAAATCTAAGTACTATAGAGAAATGTTTATCAGAATAATTAGCATAAAAGTATTTATAGAAACGGCACTGGAAAACTATGTTTTCTCTTCTATGGGCCATGTCACTTCAGGGCGTTGACGTTCATGGCTCTCCACAATTTCCTGTTCTTTGTAACTCTTAATAAATGTTGTCCTTATTGTATCTCTCCTATACCCTGTCCTGTATTCACTCAAGCTCGCCAGATAGGTTACGCGTTGTTTTCCTCTCTAACCTCTTGCCTTCAATCTGCCCTGTGAGTATCAAACCTTCCAAGCCTCCTTTCCTCATTATGTACCCTAGAAATTTCAACTGTATCTTTCTGGTGTTAAGCATAAGTGTCCGTTTTGTTTCCATTTTCTCTAAAACTTCATCGTTGCTCACATGTTCGGTCCATGATATTCACTAGCATCCTCTACAGAACCACATTTCTTTTACTTCAAGTTACTTCATCTGAGTGGAGATCGTCCAGCATTCACTACTGTATAGGAGGACTGATATTACACAACAGTTCAGTACACTTTTCTTTGTTTCTTCTAACGAAATCTTTCTGCTTCTTAATACGTTGCTTAGTTTTTGAAAGACATCTTTCATTGTCTCAAAGCGCCTTCGAATATCCGTGTTACACTTTCCGTCCTCTGTTAAACTATTTTCCAGATATTTAAATTGTTGTACTTGTTTGATTTTTGTATTTCCAATTTGTAATTTGCATACTGTGCTGTTACTTCAGCTGACAAGTATGCATTCGGTCTTGTTGCAGTTGATGCTTAGTCCTTTCTTCTCGCTTTCCTTTAATACCTTCTGCATTTCCTCTAGTTTCCTTTCTGTGCCTGCTATCAACTCTGTGTCATCTGCTTATCTTATATTGTTAAAATGGTGGCCGCCCACAATGAATCCTGGTAGGACTTCTAATTCTCTGTGAATCGCGTCACTCGATAGATTGAATGTCTGGTGAGAAGACACATCATTGTCTTACACCCCCTTTCTCTTTCAGAGACTCCATAACTATGACAGAACCTCTTTCTTCATTACATTCCTGTTCTTTTATTTTCTTTGTTTTTACCTTCCTTTCTATCGGCATCTCTTCGTTCTCACCAGCTATCCCTCCTTCCTTCCTTCCTTCCTTCCTTCCTTCCTTCCTTCCTTCCTTCCTTCCTTCTTTCCTTCCTTCCTTCTTTCTTTCCGATTTTCCTTCCTTCTTTCCTTCCTTCCTTCTTTCTTTCCTTCTTCCTTTCTATCCTTCCTTCCTTAATTCATTCCTTACTTCCTTACTTCTTTCAATCCTTCCTTCTTTCCTTCATTCCTTCATTCCTTCCTTCCTTTCTTTCTTTCTTTCTTCCTTCCTTCCTTGCTTCCTTCCTTCCTTACTTCCAACTCTCTTTCCTTCTTTCCTTCCTCCTTTCCTTCCTCCTTTCCTTCCTTCCTTCATCCATTCCTTCCTTGCTTCCTTCCTTTCTTTCAACCCTCTTTCCTTCTTTCCTTCCTTCTTTCCTCCCTTCCTTCTTTCTTTCCTTCTTTCTTTCTTTCCTTCCTTCCTTCCTTCCTTCCTTCATTCCTTCCTTACTTACTTCTTTAAATCCTTCATTCCTTCCTTCATTCATTCATTCATTCATTCCTTGCTTCCTTCCTTTTTCCAACCCTCTTTCCTTCTTTCCTTCCTTCTTTGCTTCCTTCATTCCTTCCTTCCTTCATTCCTTCCTTGCTCCCTTCCTTCTTTCTTTCCTTCCTTCCTTCCTTATTTCATTCCTTCCTTCATTCAAAGCTTCATTCGTTCTTTCCTTATATCCCTCCTTCCTTCCTTCGTTCCTTCCTTTCTTTCATTCAATCCTTCCTTCCTTCATTCTTTCCTTGCTTCCTTCCTTCTTTCTTTCTTTCCTTCCTTCCTTCCTTCCTTCATTACTTTTTTCTTTCATTCCTTCATTCAATCCTTCCTTCCTTTCTTCATTCCTTCCTTCATTCAATCCTTCATTCGTTTTTTCCTTCCTTCCTTCCTTCCTTCCTTCCTTCCTTTATTCCTTCCTTGGTTCCTTCCTTTCTTCCTTTCTACTCATACTTTTTGTTTTCTTTCATCCGCTTCCTCCTCCATTCTCTTACTTCATCCATTTCTCTCTCTCGATATCAATCCCTTTTTTTTTTGCTCACTCCTTTACAGTTTTCTTTCTTTCTCATTCACTCATTCCCTCTATCTGTTTGTTTACCTTCTCCATTTCCTAATTACTTCTCTCAACCCCCTTTACCTCCAGACCTTTCTTTCACTCCCTATCTTATCCTTACCCACTCTATGTCTCTCTTTATTTAGTTTCCTTTATTCCTTCCGGCCTTCCTTCTCTTGCGTCTATTTTCCAACACAAGAACTGACTCTTTGTGGAACAGACATCTGCATAGTTGCAGTTAAATCCTGACTTCTCCAAGTTAAAGGTCAATCATCGGCTTTTCTCTTTTCTTTCCACCTTTCCTTCAATTCCTAATGGATAGCGTCTCGGAATGAGAATTCGGAGAGTCGGGTTCGAATTCCAGTCGGGTTCGACTTCACTTACGCGTAAATTGATTCTATTCACTTACGTGAAAATACCACTGGGAAAGTTATAAATCCACCTCTTCTCCTACCAGCTATGGGTTAATTATTAGGACTTATATCTGGAAACATCATTGTTTTCTCAGGAAATTATTAATGTGCTATATACCGTACCTATAAACACTAATGTATATGTCCCAGTCCTCATAAATACGTTGGACACTATTGTAAGTGGGGGTAATATGTTGTCTAGCAGTGGTTTACCTGCTTCACACCGCTGGCGAGTATTGTATTTTGTTGATGTTATAAGGATTACCATTTCATTTCCAACCTCTATTTTGGTTATTCCTCATTCAGTAATCTTTTCTAGGTTACAACATAATGTAATATTCACTCGCGATAAACGAATTATACTTACAATCCAAAATGTGCCTCAGATTTAAATAACCCACACGGAGTTGATAAGCCATAAAAATAAATCAATCCTTTTTTCTCACTATTTTCTTTCTTCTTTTCCTCATTTCGTTGGCTTTCTCTTACTTTCTTTCTTTCTACCCATATCACTCTTTTTCATTTTCTCTTTCTTCCTTCCTTCTTTCTTTTCTCCTTTTGCTCTTCCTTCTCTTAACTCGGTTTCCTTCCCCCCCCATCCCTCCATTTATTCTCTTTTTCCACTTCCCTTCCAGTTCATACACCTGCTTTCTCCCTCCATTTTCCTTCCTACTATTTTTCCGTCTTTCTCAACTTATTATTGCATCATCCTTTCTTTTCTTCTCTCTCTTTCTCTCTCTTCCTCCCCCTTTTATTTCCACTTATTTCCTCTGCACCATTCTTTTCTTCTCAAGTTTCATTTTCAGATCTAGCTCACTACAACAGTAATTGTCTGAAAGACTAGCAGAGAAGAGTCCACATCATGACAAGCTTAACTTAGTATGGCTTAGGGTCGGAAATCTAGGGCATCGATTATTATCTTGATTTTACTAAGCTTATCTTAAAGATGAAACAAAAGAGTAATAAGGCTAAGAATTCAGTCTTTCAAGTGGAGAGGATCTACTGACTAAGTACCTGTATGCCTGCCTTGCAAAATCAGCATTCTATATCCGGGCGCTTATCTACAGTGTGGTCCGAAAGTCTTGTCACCTTAACCTTCTTTCCAAAATGTAGGAGCTTTTTTTTTTTTCTTTTTTTTTTTTAAGCGTTTCACCCCAAGCAAGGCGGGAAGTCACTAGGACGCAAGGGGTTACAGAAAATTTGGAGCAAGATCAGATAAGAGTGATAGAAGAAAGGATGAGGATAAGGGTAGTGGATAGATCAAGGCAACTGGAGATGTCGATTGACATTACACTTGAATAGCTGGAGATTATAGCTCTCAGGGAAACTGGAATAGGGAAGGGAGTTCCACAAGCAAGAGGTACGAGACATGAAGCTACTGGAGTAGAAGAGACGGCTACAACACATTTTGTCCTAATCATTCTAACCTATTTGATGGTTTAGTTAAAAATCCCGTTTCGAAAGAGAGAATCAGAAAAAAAGGGGAAAATTGAATGTCTTTGGCTAGATGCGAAAGGCGTCTTTTCTTTTTATGTGCCGTGTCTTTTCAGGATGTAGGTGATCATGTCTCTCCACTTTTCCCTATTCCTTGTATATCTCGATAAGTTTCGTCCCTCTGTCCCCTCCCCCAGACCACGTTCTGTCATCCATTTGCTTAAGCCCGCCAGGTATGTCATGCATTGCTTTCACTTGTCTCTCTTTTCCTTTATTCGACCTGTGTGTGTCAGATTCTCCAGGTGTCAACCACCTGAAATAGAAAATTAGGCGATGTTCGGGTAACAAGACTTTCGGACCGCCCTGTAAATATGAACACTGGCATCGTTTGGAAGATATCAACCTATTGCAGCCACAAGGCAGACCTTTTTTTTTTTCTTTTTATTCTTGTTGATTCTTGAATTGACAATTTCCAGTCTGCACAGATTGAATAGAAGACTCGTGAGTCACCATTTATACTCAAATGGGGCACACCAGCATCTTTATGCATCTTCAAGATTCTTTTCTTCTTCTTCTTCTTCTTCTTCTTCTTCTTCTTCGTCTTCTTCTTCTTCTTCTTCTTCTTTTGTTGAGCATGAAGATAAGAACCGGAGGCATCCAATTGATAAACAGGATATGGGTTATTTCGAATGCTTGTTGCTAACGGGGAAATGTTGAAATTAATCCGAAGATTCCTGACAACGACCAAGAGATTTTTCCACGGGGAGAAGATATGCGAGATATCCTTCTCCTGCCCTAAGGGCCGTAATTACTCTCGTTATCAAACATTGCACTTAGAGTGATCTCTGATATTAAACAGAAAAAAGGGAGGAGAGAGAGAGTGAGAGAGAGAGGAGGGTAGACGAAAAGAAACAAAGAAAAGGAGAACGAGAACAGTTCATAGAAATAAGAGAGAAAAGAGAAATAAGAAGAGAGAGAGAGGAGGAAAAGAAGAAAAATAATGTCAGCAAAAGAAAGGATTAGAAAGCAGTGAATAAGTAAACGAAGAAGAGACATAGTGGCAGATGATCACCGAAGTTAAGCAACGTCCAGTCTGGTCAGTACCTAGGTGGGCGACTGCTTCCGAATATCAGTTGCTGCAAGCCTTGATGTGCGGTTGATGTAATAGATAATGGCTAGGAATTGTTAATCGGAGGGTCGAGTTCCAATTCCAGTTGGGGTTTGTTATATTCACTTATGCGCAAATCCCCTCCAACTATGGGTTAATTAGGACTTGTATCCGTCAATCATCATTAGTATCAAAACAATTTTACAATCCAATTTGATGGCTTTAAATAACCTGCAAAAGGTTGTTAAACCGTAAAAAAAAAACAAATAAAAATAGGAGGAGACAAAGAAGATGAAAAATGTGAGAGAGGGTGTGTCAGTACAGAAGGTGAGTAATGAAGGTCGAAAAATTTTGGTGAGTTAGGAAAAGAAAAAAAATGAGGAAGGAAAGAAGGAAGTACAAAGAGAGTTATAAAAAGAGAAAGAAAGGTGACGCTACTTAAAGAAAGGGGAGAATGAAAGAGATGAAGGAAGCGAGAGTGTGAGGAGAGGTAAGCAGGATGAGAGTACCAAAAAGAGAGGAATTGGGAAGAAGAAAGGAAAGAAAGAAAGAAGGAAATAAAGAAAGAAAGAAAGAAAGAAAGAAAGAAAGAAAGAAAGAAACGCTCGAACGAACAAACTGTTGGCTTGTTGGTTGATTTATTTAGCGGCATATCAACTCATTTAATGCCGAAATTTAATTTTCTCGGGAGCTTTGAAGTAATAAAAATATATATGTTATTCTGCTTTCACAATTGACTACATGGTAAATGATACTCAGCTTTTGTACATATACATATATATACGCGTAAGTGTGTTTTATTGAAGTTATATTCTGGAATACAGTTTGAATTCTTTGAGAAATTGTAGGATATTATATGGACTAATGTCATGAAAGAGTTCTTTCATGTTGGTTGGTTGGCTGATTTTGTTTAGCGGCATAACAACCTCTATGAGTAATTTAATGTCGAAATCTAAATAATTTCAAAACAATTTTATGGCTTTCATGAAATATATTTAGAACACAATTGTATGCCTTCAACTACAGATAAAATCTATTGCTGGTCATTTTGTTTTAAAATGTATCGTTGATAATTTTACTATAAATTTGTATCGTTGACCAATTTAGTATAATATAAATTGTTGGTCATTTTAATATGAATATGTATTGCTGGTCTTTTTTATATAAAAATTTATTGATGGTATTTTTACTCTTAAAATGTGTTTTTATACTTTCATAATGTTTTGTTTGGCCGTTCACTATTTGCCCATAGCTGGGACCCTAACAGGTGCTACCACCCCGGGTCAGGGTGGACCTGGGAACAACAGCAATTAAGAGATGGTTCCATGCTCCTTAAAACCTCCAATCTCCCGATCTTTCCGCCGGATGTAGTTACAAACGAAGAAATGTAAAAAAGTGTGTTTAAATGAAAAAAAGGCGGAAATATAATGAAGGAGAAAAGAAACGAAAGTTTAAGATAAGAAAGGGTAAAAGGAAGAGGGGAAAAAGGAAGGGAGAAAGAAGGAAGAGGGAAAGAAGGAAGAATGAAGAGGGAAAGAGGAATGGACGAAGGAAACGGGAAGAGAAAGAACGGAGGATAAGAGAGAGTGAAGAAATAAATAAAAAGAAAGAAAGAAAGAAAGAAAGAAAGAAGGAAGTAAATGAGAGGAAAAATGAAGGAAGAGATGACGGAAAGAAGCGGGAGGAAGAGAAGAAAGATGAGGGAAGGAACTAACACATGAGAAGAGAGAGACATGAAAAGAACGGGTGGATGCAACAAGGGTTTACGAGAGACTTAAAATTTCGAACATTGTAGTCACAAACTAGTCAAAACTACTCACTTGTAATAGGCGGGAAAATATCCTACCAGTCATTGAAGTAGGTATCGATATCTGTGCGGACATTGGCGATTTCGATTTTGCTAAGAGTATTTTAATATTAAAAACGCTTCATAGATGTAAGACGTTTGTATTTGCTGGTCTGATTCATGAATATATCTTCTTATACTATGTACCGTGTCCCTTCAGGACGTTAGCAACCACGGCTCTCTACAATTTCTATCTCTTTGTAACTCTTCTTGCTGGAGTATGTACGTTGATGTTTGAATTGGGTAACGTATCTCCTGAGATGTTTATCTCACAACAAAAATAGCGGGCTCGGTGTGTGAGTCCGGGTAATAAAATACCTGTTCTTTGTCACTCTTAATAAATTTTGTCTTTTTGTTATGTCTCCTAAACCCCGTCTCGTTGTTTTCCTCGGTCCCTCTTGTTTTTAAACTATCCTGTGCGTATCAAATTTCCCAAACACTCTTTCCTCATTATATGCTCTAGAAATTTCAACTACCTCTTTATGCTGTTTTGTATATGTGTCCTTTTTTCCATTTACTCTAAAATTGCTCATATGGTCGGTCAATTATATCCTCAGCATCGTTCTGTAGAACCACATTTTTGTTGTTTATGTTTGTGTCCGCCACTAAAGAATCCTGATAGGACTTCTAATTCTTTTAGAATCGCTTCGCTGTATAGGTTGAATAAGTCCGGTGAGAAGACACACTCTTGTCTTACACCCCTTTCTATTTTTGTATATTTACTCAATTCCTTTCTATTTGTATATATATGTATATAGATTATATGGATTATTCAAATATCCTTCCCAAATATGATAAAGTTACCTAGAAGTTCCAACAGTTCTTTCTGATGTAATTTATCAAACTTTTCTTGTGTAATCTATAAAGTATAGGTATACATCCTTTTACGCGTGTATTGCTACTTTTAGATAAATAAGTCTGTAGTTTGATAGAATTTATAGCTGAATTTTGATCTGAAATTTTCACTGTATAATCTCTCATTGCGCTAAATTACTTCAGGTCGACCCGAGCCATCAGTGTCTTCGGGCGTTAAAACAGGAAATTGAAAAACGAATTTACAGCAGGTCAGCAGAAAGAGAAGACAATTTTGAAATCAGCCCAAGATCTGTACAGTGTAGCCACTCCATTCATTATTATTGTTGATCTAGTCATCAAATATTCAGTAGAACAAACGCTCTTCCTATTTTATGTACCCTGTCCTTTAAAAGTGTAAGCAATTATAGTTCTCCTCACCTTCCCATCCTTTGTAAAGCTAAATAGTGGTTGTCCCTTTACTATACCTCCCATTTCCTGTTCTGCCACAACTGGAACATAGAATGATATAGAGGAAAACTAAAAGGCCAACCTTCTTACACAATAAAGTTTTTAAGTTGACAAGATTCTTAAAAAATAAGAATAGTAAGAAATATTAAGGAGACAAAGCTTCTTACACAACAAGGACAGTGAAAGATAAGGGACAAGCTTCTTACACAAAGGGAACAAGCTTCTTACACAAAGGGACAAGCTTCTTACACAACAAGGACAGTGAAAGATAAGGGACAAGCTTCTTACACAAAGGGACAAGCTTCTTATACAACAAGGACAGTGAAAGATAAGGGACAAGCTTCTTACACAAAGGGACAAGCTTCTTGTACAATAAGGACAGTGAAAGATAAAGGACAAGTTTGTTTCACAATGAGGATAGTGAAAGATAAGGGTAATATCTTCTTACACAATAGAGATAATAAAGGGAGAACGTTTCTTACAAAACTGGTATAGTAAGGGGACAAGCTTTTTACACAATAAGGATACTAAGGGATAGTAAGGGGACAAATATTCTTACACAATAAGGGTAGTAAGTTATAATAAGGGGACAATCTTTTACACAATAGAGACAGTAAGAGACGAACGTTTCTTACACAGCAGGTAATGTAAAATGGCAAGCATCTAACACAATAAGGATAGTGAGAGATAAAAAGGAGACAAATATCCTTATACAATTAGGAGATTAAAGAGAGAAACATCTTACAGAATAAGGATAGTAAAAGATAGTAAGGGACAAACATCTTATGCAATAGGAATAAGTAAGGGAATGTCCCTTACGCAATAAGGACAGTAAGAGCTAATAAGGAGACAAGCATTTTACACAATAGGTATAGAAAGGCGACAAGCTTCTTACATAATAAGGGCGATGGGAAAGCTTCTTACACAACAGATATAGTAAGTGGACAAATTTTCTTACACACTAGGGATAGTAAATGATAGTAAGGGGACAAATCTTCTTACAGAAGTTCGTCACGTAGGTTACTCGCTATTTTTACCTTTCTTGCTTGCAGCCTGCCCTGTGAGTGTCAAGTTCTCCAAGGTTTCTTTCCTCGTATTGTGTCCTAGAAATTTTAAGTATAAGTGTTATTTTCTTCCATTCTGCTTAAAGCTTTCTCCTTACGCACATGTTCTGTCCATGTTATTCTCAACATCCTTCTGTAGAGCCAAATCTCTGTTGGCTCAAATTTTCTCTGCATCTGTGTGGAAACTGTTCGAAATTCACTACCATATAGAAAGATTCATGCCACACAGCATTCTATCAATCTTTCCTTTGTTTCTAACGAAATATTCCTGTTTCTTAATACTTTAGCTTTTGGAAGGTATCCTGCTATATTCCAATGCGCCTTCGGCTTTTTGCGTCACATTCGCCGTTGTCTGTTAAAACACTCCCAAGATTATTAAATTTCTGTGCTTGCTTGATTCTAGTCAAATGAATTAACGGAGAGACACTTAGAGATT